CCGTGTAAATTTATTTAAAATAAAATAAAATAACTATTTTCAATTGTCATAAAATAACATTGAATTACTATTTCTTCTTACCTATATCACTATCTGATGTGAATATGAAATTATCCATTGTTGGAGGAAAATAAAATAAGTAACCTAAAACAGTAACTTTTGGCACGAAAATAAAACAATATAAATAGCAAATAAAGCAATTGTGAAGCCACCGGTGGCCACTAACCCCGCCACCTGTCTATGGAAATTGGATTTACACCACTTTCATAATCAATGGTTACGCAATTTCTTTTACCGGTCAATTTTAAATTGAACAAAGCATTGGCATTCTTTAAGATATTAACTACTAACTAGTTATAAACAAAAAGTTTACACTAAATAAAGCATGAATTACGTCATATCTCATTTTTCTTTAAAAAAGGACTTACACCACTTTCAAAATAAACGGTCCATTTATCGAACCAGACATATTAAATTCTGTTACTCGAAACTAAACAAAATAAACGAATAAAACGTAGAGATGCTTGATCATGGAACATAGCGCAGAGACCTCGACAGAATAGAGGAATTAAGTCGAGAGGTTAATGCCGAAATATCGTCCTGCGGTTGCATAATGCCCCCGTTGTCCTAACGATTGTGTTCCATTATATTATGCAACAGGGGCTCGACGGCGACACCGAAAACGTCAGGAATGGAACGTCAGATTATCTCCGGTCGATTTATTCGAAACGCTCGCGACGGTCGTGCTTCACTCGTCCCGATTACGTAACGCGATACAACGGTATTGAAAGCCATGCGAATTCAATATCGGTGGGCAAAACAAACGCAAGGAAAATCCTTTCGGTGTGCTTGGGGGATACATCACGAAATTATTTTCAGTCGGGCTCTCTCTTTCTCTCTCTCTCTCTTTCTCTCTCTTTTTCTCTTTCTCTCTTTCTGTGCCGTAACAGCGGAGCGACGGTCTACGTGTGTACGCAACACGGTGGTGGGCTGCCAGAACGTCGGAGGACAGTCGGAATGGCTTTGAAATCCTCGGATTAGTGGAATTTTGTAGTAAATCGTCTGGCAGCGTCGCTGTGTCCTCCCACAATAACGATTCTGTACCGACGTTGTTTCGATATAGTCGACGTCGTGCGCTTGAACAATCGAGCCATGTCTGGGCAATGTGGCTTCGTGCTTCCACACAAATACAATAGAGCTAGGGTTGCGGCGGTTGGCGGATGTAAATGAGAGAAATGGGTGGGGAACAGAGAAAGAGTACAGAGAAACAAAAAGGAGACGAGAGGGAGCGGAGAGCGACCTGGAGAGAGACGGGGTGACAGAGAGAGATGGAGAGAAACGGAGAAACAGGGAGAGACAGGGAAAGAGGTAAACAGAGAGAGAGAGGGAGAGAGAGAGAGAGAGTGGGAGGGTGGGAGGGAGAGGCAGAGGACCTCCAAGAGAAAAGATTAAAAGAAGAAGAGAGAAAGCATGGGGAGTCAGGGTGGAGAAGATAACAGAGATGGCTTATTTGATTTACGTTCCCGTTTGCATCCCTCCTTCTTCTTCTTCTTTCGTCTCCACTTTCTCCCCCACCCCTCACCTCTCGCCCTCTCTCTCTCCCTCTCTATCTCTCTCTCTGTCTCCCATTGCGCTCTTTCGTACGTTCGTTCTCTTTTTCTCGTGCAACAGAAACTACCACGAAGAGACTGCAAATTTTACAGGATCGATGAGAAAGGATTCCATCCCCCGCCACCGCAGCCCGCTCTCCGTCCGCGCTGCTCTGCCATTCGCAAAAAGATTCGGCGATGTTCGTTGCTCGTTTTCATTTGATCACCGATACATCGGAATCCCGTGGAACGAATGTCAGAAATTCGGCCGCGAAATTTGTACCGATTTGATTTTAATGCGGGAATGTTTTTCGCGGGATTCGATTAAAACTGGGCCACGTCCGTAACTTTTTGGAGCACGAAGAAGCGCGCGCTCAAATGGGGCATGAAGCATCATTGATTGCTTCCCGTTCATTATTATTTTCTTCGCTCGCCCGGAATGCGAGGGCTATTTTATAAACACGCCGGAAATTGTGCAACCTATTGGGAGAATCGGGAATTGGAGTTTTTTTCTACTGTTTTCAAATTTTTGATGCGTTCGTTTAATTGGAAGTTGCGCGCGGTTGAAATGACTGTCCGTGAGTTTATTATCATATTATCAATGAATTTGCATTATGACTTTATGCACTTACGAGAAGTTTGGATTTTTAAAATGCGAGAGAACGTGTGGAGATGAACAATATCTGATAACATTTTTATTTTATTTTTGCAATTAGTAATCTTTTGGTTAACAAAGCCAGTTTTTCTTTCGTTCTAATTTTTGTGAAATGATTTATGAAAATGGGAAGTTGCATAGACATCCGCAATCTAATTATTCAGTCATTATCTATAATATGGATCTTTATGCGAAATGAATAGCCTCGAATAATTATTATTAGTTATTTTATTGTAATAAAATAAAACGACCCGAGTCTGGTCATTGTACGTAATCACCACAGGAGACGAATATAAAGTATGTGAAAAATGATCGTTTCTGATGACTTACCTTTCCAAACTCACTGAGGCCTGGCGTCGTGTCCTGGGTATTGTTCGTCTCGCGAACTGAACAGACTGCCCTGCCAAGAAAATGTCTGTTAGAACTTCCTCCTTCTAGCACGTGAAACCATAAGAAAATTTATTACTTATTAGCCGACGCTCGTTTCCTTTTCGTCTACTAATATATAATCTTTTATCGCACTATTCTGGAGCATGTAATGTTACCACGTTAATATTCATTAAAACGTTAATTAACGTACTACGGGTGCTCGCGTATTTGTTTAATATTTTCAGTTTCGTTACGTACGTCCATTATTGGAAGAACGAAGAAATCAGGCGATTTTCCAGAATGCTTTTAATATGTTGTAAATATTGAAACTCTTCCGCGAATGAAGATATTATACGTGTATGTATCACACACACACACAAATATTCGCAAATAAAATGTTCGCACATTATTTGCAAGGAATGGATAAGTTATTTCTACGATCGATATTCTTCATCATTAATTTCTACCTAATTTTCTCATATTTCTTGCAAAGAGTTGGAAGATTCATAAATATCCATAGTCCGTTAATGAAATAAAAATAGTTCTCTTTTTATTTCTACAGATGAAAAGGAGTCGCGAATTCAATAATATCTTCAATTAACCTCCCGTGCCGCGCGCGCGAGTAATACCAAATCCCATTTGCAAGATACTACTGCATTCGTTCGCTAAAAATTATGTTAATTCAGTGCTCTTTATACTTGCAAATTACATATTTATAACCACCGGTGGTTCTGTTACATGTATATATGATTTTACTAGCGATTGAACGACTTGTCATTGTTTCGTTATTCAAGCACATGCATTATCGGCATATTAAAAATGTTCAATTAAGTAACGATATGTCCAAAGTTGTGACAAAACATTCTTCCTATAATTCTGTGAAATTAAATTCCGTTCAACGGCTCCGAAGTATCCGATTTTAATATGCAATAAACTCGACATACCTACAATTAATTTTCTCGTAAACACTTTTTGATATTAATTTTCAATATGTTCGATGGAAGTCTCTTTAATATAATCAACATGATCGATAACAATGTGTAATTAAATATTATTTACGTCGTTGCTCCTCCATCGGAAACCTTAAATGATATTTTTCACGTATCAGCTTA